GAAAACCCGCCTACTTAAAAGCTTTTCAAAAGTAGTGGAAGTGGAGATTGTACGAGTTCACCGTGACGGTAATGTCATGTAAGGCGAGATCTAATTTGCTCCCATCGCTCAAAGAGATGACTACATCAAGCCAATATTGTTGGTAACTGCCTTTCACTGTCGCCATGTTTTATGACAAGCTGTTTGAACTTCCTGCATGGGGATCTCTTGAAATAGTGCAGACTCTACAAATCCATTGAAAATCGTCCACGATGGGTGTGACATTCACACGATACAATCTCTGGCCGCTGATTGTGCCCTATCCGTGACGTATTTTCCATGTTTTTCGACTTCATAACTGCAGGTATGATAAGGGGAACCTCGAATTAATACAATAGGGGAGCCTCAGAAACCATTTTTCTCGTCAACTGGGCCTTAAGCCGGTTACTGAGCTATTTTGAGGTTTTTGCTTCACTGGTAGTGAAGCTCTTACTATGTAGTCGATTTTACACACACGATGTTGCCTATAAAGCACGAAATATGTAAATGACAGTAAATGTCCAGAATGACAGGTTTTTTTTTTGAAGTAGAGCCAGTCCTGCTGAGAATGGTTCGTGTGAATATTGGGAGGTGAGCAGATGGAACGATGAGTGCCACTGTCTTTTCACGTCTTCCTCTTTACAGAGCAGCCCAACTCTGCTGGATCCTCCTCAGTCGAACCCTGTTTTTGGATTCGGTAAGCTCGAACATCTTTTCTTTCACGCCCCAGAGGAGGAGAAAAAGTATAAGATAGAAAAATATTCCTTCCTGTCTCTGCTGTTTCAGCCTAACCTATCAAAACTTCTCTATTCTCAGAACTTTCTTTTAGTGCATATCCCCGCAATCTCAGAATTAAGGGAGTGTCTGCAGCTTGGGTTTCTTTAGAAGGCAATTCGCTCCACAAGTAGCTGTAGGGAAGTCAAGTGATCGCAACTCAGCATTATGGACTTTGCATTCGTCTTCATAGCCTCCTGTTTCTTATCGAAGTCGAAATCGAAAACCGGAGCGTTGCACGAAGGACACCGTGTTCTAACCCAGGTGCCCTCCGATCAAAGAGCACCCGGTGCCTTCGAAGTCCTTCTCCGATGAGTGAAGAGCCACCTTGGATGAAATTTAGCGTTTTCACATTTTTCTTCCGGCTCATTTCGTTGCAAATCGTGAATTTCTTCAGCACCTCTCCTTGAAACCATCTTACGAGTGATTTTGTGAAGCCGTTCAAAAAGTAAACGATTGGAGAATGTTGAAAAGGGCAATCAGGAGGATAAGCGATGACTGAGGTGGAATATGGATGGGTCATGACCTTAACTACTTCTTTCGTCATGTGTTTCTATCTATCATGTTTGTTGCTCTCTTGCGATCTTGGATGAACGATGAAAAAAGTGGATATCAACAGTTGAAATCACCAATGTTGCTTGAACCATTTAAGAAAAATGACCTCATTTTCAAAGTGGAAGTTAAAGTTTACAATAACTCGATTTGTAAAAACCACTAGTACACTTGAAAACGATAAGAAGTATCAGCGACAGGGGTCGTTCCTTTCCTTCGCATACGTATACGGTTAATACTGAGTTCAAATCAAATACGTACCTTTCATTTAGAAAAGCAGCGTGTACCTAGCCTCTACATCAACACTTCCGCTTTTCTACCTAAAAATGGTACATCAAAAATATCGTGAACGGTGCCTTTAATGGAACGGACTCAGTAATATGGTTGAGCAGAAGAAAGCTTTAAGGGCGTTCAAGAGGATGTTGAGAGTAGTGAAGATGAAAAACAACGTTCAGCTCCGCATCAATCTCCCACATTGTTATACATAGTATCTTGCCTTGACTTCTTCCTGAAGACGGACTCTGCTTGGAAGGNGTACATCAAAAATATCATGAACTGTGCCTTTAATGGAACGGACTCAGTAGTATGGTTGAGCAGAAGAAAGCTTTAAGAGCGTTCAAGAGAATGTTGAGAGTAGTGAAGATGAAAAACGTTCAGCTCCGCATCAATCTCCCACATTGTTATACATAGTATCTTGCCTTGACTTCTTCCTGAAGACGGACTCTGCTTGGAAGGGACGATCAAGCAGTCCATGCCGCTGAGCACCATGAGTGCTCAAAGGTCCGAGCACATACAGAACAAAAAGGATGCTTGTCAACAAGTAAATGGCAGAAACCACTGTCGTACCGCCAGAGTGCTTTGTGAGAGTGTGGGAATAAGCAGTGATGGGTGGCCGCTGAGGTACAAGGATAGGAAAATATAGCGAGTTTATAGCAGCTGGTGAATAGGAAGGAGGCTACATTGAATATAGTGAAAGGTACGGGGATTGGGAAGGTAGACAAGTAGTGAATGACTACTGAACACTGTTTGGTATGCGTTTCTGTTTCTGTTGCATGCTTCTCGGTTTCTGCTTCTTCTGAGACAACTACCGAGTAATTACCTTCACTGTTAGAGTGTTGAACCCCGGTTTAGGGGTATGCCAACTTCTGTACGATTGAGAACCGATTGTAAAATTAGGTGTGAAGACTACATTTTCATTGTGCTGCCTGCATATCTTTATCAAGCGAGTAAATGATAAAAAAACTGAAGAGGACAGCAAGAGTAAGAAGGTAAGGCATCTTGAGAAAAATTATGAGCTATAATAGTTCCAATAATGTTTGTTAGAAATTTGTTTTTGTGCACAGGTGACATGTAAAATGTGGAACGAAGCGGAATATTTTACAGAGCTATGAACTACGACTTTACTGCTTTTTTTTTATTTTGCACAAAATCAGCCAGTTATAATAAGAATTTTCTGCTGAGCAACCTAATTTTTTTTATTGAAGCTTTGTTTTTCACTGCTTTTATCCTCTTTATTCAATAACTTTAAGGGCACAGTTCACGATAGAAATTGTTCCTGAGATTTCCCTACAGTATGAATTCGAGGCTCCCTTTTATACCATACCTGTCGTTATAGGGGCGAAAATGTCCTGGATAGGGTACAATAAGGAACGAGAGATTGTATTGCGTAAATGCCATACCCCTAGTGGACGAGTTTCAATCGCTTTGTAGAGGCTGCAAAATTCACAAGGGAACCAATGTAGGAAGTTCAACAACTTGTCATGACCCATAGCGACAGCGAAAGGCAATTCTGGACCGTCATGG